GCAGGGACCGTGCGTCCCCGCCCGCGTGTCCCCATCAACCCACGCGGCCCACATATGGGCTCCAGATGGTGGGGACCGATCGGCAAAGGGGCCGCTCACACCATCGCGGAGACGCCGCGGCCGCGCCGCCAGCGACGGCCCGTTTGCTCGCTAACAAGTCATGTAAGCATGATGTCAGCTTCAGAAAGGCCAACTGGACCAGGCGACACCATTCTGTACGTATGTGTGGGCGTAGCCGAGTGACACGCGCCACTCTTCACAGAATCTTGTATTGCTCCCGCCCGGCGCCAGGTCTGGATGGAGACTCTGCCTTACCACGCAAGGCGAGTTCACGCGCAGGCAAATGCTAGAGCACAAACTAAAAGACAACAATTACAGCAATCACATGGATCAGCGTCACAATGCAAATGAATCAAAAGCCTTCCTGATTACATCACAAGTAACTGACAATGAGGAAACACTTTACTTTCAAATAAAGTGTAAAGGCGACAACCATCACTATAACACCCGACTACCCCGACACTGCCAACAAAAACAGAGTAAACACGATAATACCCGACTACATCCGACACAGCTAAAAAGAACGAAGTAATCACTATAAGACCTGACTACACCCGACACTGCTAACAAATCAGGGCAATCATTGTAACACTCGACTACGCCCGACACTGGTAACCAAACAGAGCACATACAAGGCAACAGCAATCACTTAACGCACAATAACAACAATCACAGCCACGGCCGCGGTGGCGCAACGGCCGCGGCCAGCGCAGCGCGACCGTGAACATTGAGGCCGCGGGACGGACAGCATAGCTGCCGCAACACGGCCGCCGGCCGGACAGCATAGCTGCCGCAACACGGCCGCGGGACGGACAGCATAACTGCCGCAACACCACCGCGGGACGGACAGCATAACTGCCGCAACACGGCCGCGGGACGGGCAGCATAACTACCGCAACACGGCCGCGGGACGGACAGCATAACTGCCGCAACACGGCCGCCGGACGGACAGCATAGCTGCCGCAACACCACCGCGGGACGGACAGCATAACTGCCGCAACACGGCCGCGGGACGGACAGCATAACTGCCACAACACCACCGCGGGACGGACAGCAAACGCCGCACACCACCGCGGGACGGACAGCAGATAACTACCGCAACACCACCGCGGGACGGACAGCATAACTACCGCAACACCACCGCGGGACGGACAGCATAACGCCACAACACCACGGGGACGGACAGCATAACTACCGCAACACCACCGCGGGACGGACAGCATAACTGCCGCAACACCACCGCGGGACGGACAGCATAACTACCGCAACACCACCGCGGGACGGACAGCATAACTACCGCAACACCACCGCGGGACGGACAGCATAGCTGCCGCAACACCACCGCGGGACGGACAGCATTGCTGCCGCAACACCACCGCGGGACGGACAGCATAACTGCCGCAACACCACCGCGGGACGGACAGCATAACTGCCGCAACACCACCGCGGGACGGACAGCATAGCTGCCGCAACACGGCCGCGGGACGGACAGCATAACTGCCGCAACACGGCCGCGGGACGGACAGCATAACTGCCACAAGACGGCCGTGGGGCGGACAACATAACTACCGCAACACGGCCGCGGGACGGGCAGCATAACTACCGCGACACGGCCGTTGGATGGACAGCATAACTGCCGTGCCACCCAAGCCGCATCACGGCCGCATTACGGCCGAAAACCGAACGGGTGCAACTGGCCCGGCAGGGCAAAAAACTGGAACGGTGCTGAGAGGCCACTCCAGCGTACCGATGAGACCACGAGCAGCTCACAGCAAGATAATCTCTCTCGGCATAATTTAATAAACAAAACAAATGTGGCTTGGGGAAAGACTGGTGACCTGGAACAGGGTTGTGCAGTACGTGCGAGCTTATGAATGGTATGTCAACGTTTTGAGTGTAGTGTCCTGTAAGCAGGGCTAGCTTGTACGGTTCGCTACTCCGACAGGCCTGCTACAGTATCACCGGACACGACATCCGCAACACCAAGCATGACATTCACAACCAGAACACCCAGCGCGCCAAAATGTCCGTGAAACTCTAATCCATCACTTGAACCAAGCAAACACCAGACATCTCTCATATCGAACCTGGCATGTCTATAAGTTAACCGCCATTATCAACACTAGCTTACGCACAATATCGCTCCGGCGGTCCCGAAGCTCTGGCGGAAAGCCGCCGAGCCGGAACCGGAGTTTGGGCGAGCAGGGCCATTCTGCTACCTTTTCGTGCTGAAGCTACCTTATGGCATGCAGTCGTCGCATCGGAGCGGGCAGGCAGCTCTACGGAGAGTGGTGTTGAACACTCTTCTATGACATGTGGGATGCGTTGGCGAATCCCTCTATTAGGTACCTCATTTCGTGGCAATGCTACAGAAAGCTGGTGAATTATAATGCTTCATGGAACAGTCATATGTTTTTTTTGTGGTCACGGGTTGCAAAATTTCGCCACCAGGGCTGTCTACTATGGGAAAGTATTCATGTTTGTTTGAGTGCTTATGTCCAGCGTGTATCTTAAATTTGCGTAAGTGCGCGTCACATTTACGCCTATTACCCACCCTTGAAAGTTATTTACGATAGCGCCGAAACCCACCAGGAGATAAGCCGACTGGTACTGAAACAATAATATTCATTTAGAATCCTGTGGCTCTTTTCGAAAACATTGTGGTCACCTATGCATCCCCACTAGAGACGCAACTTTTCAGCCCACCAATCCGCTAATTTCTGACCCGCAAGAAGCCACAAGGTTTTGGCAGGGTTATGGGTCAGACTTGGCCGGCTTCTGCAGGTCAAAAATTTAAACAAGCAAGATAATGCACTGTTTACTATCGCTTAAGATTTGAAATCATGCCAAAATCAGAATCATTCCCAAACCACTCCTGTCAAACACAAAACAAACATATTTTATTTTTTACAGCAAGAGCACCAGTGACAGGAACCCATAACATGCATGACACGCCAATAAACCAGGTTGGACAAACTGAAAAGCTTTAAGCAAGCCTCTCACTGACCTAGTAAAGGAAAACAGCCCTAATTTGCAAAACTATAGCCCAATTTCATGAAGCAGCAGTTGGGTGGGTCCTTAATATAAATACGATTACGCGCCCCATTTGGCTGTTATTTTGGAGATGTGGTGCATTTAACTCTTTCTTCGTTTACGCAAGAACCACGTTTCACAAATCATAATCAGCATCCGTGATTAATGAAATGTATGTTAATCTAGGAGTCTTTCATTGTCCTAACTTCACTCACTTGTGAATACAGCCGACAGTAACTAACGTATCAAATGTGCAAGGGCGGTCGAAGCTGAAAAAGTGGTGGCATAGAGTTTGTTTATCTGTGTCTGAAGGAGATGCAACTTGTAACCACGACCACAGGGCTCTCACACAATACGGTTTCCCTACTGCGATTGTTACCATTTTCATTAAAGTTGTCACCCAAGATGTTTTGTTGTGTCTGATTTGTCCATTTTTCCTATACTTGTATCTGCATGCAGTTCTGTGTGAAAAAAGTCATCTCAACATATGGCGTTGATGAGGCACCCGATAATGATCGAAAGTTGCAGGATACAGGCTAGGTGAACTGCGGAAAGAGTTTTCGAAATACATTGTTATTGCTTATTTGTTTTCATAGAGTTTTTCTGCAGCATGCAACAATATGTTACGGTTTTTGATGGCATCGCTAAAGATCGATGGCATCACCGGATGGACAAATATTCATGAACAAAATATTATTGTCTTCCTTGCTTTCACGCCGTGTCGCACAAGCGGCGCAGCGGTGGCTGTAGGGTGGAATTTAGATAGTGGTAAGAGAGGAATGAGTATCATTTCAAAGCTATTGTGAGGTTTGCATATGGTGTTGTTAAGCCAAGTATCCATCCATGTCCAGCCATGTATCCACTTAAGGACAACAAACACAATACAGGGGGCTGGCTCTGGTACTTCAATGAGGGATATAACCTTGTGGCAGCTGTGACACGGTCAAATTGTACATTGCAATGAAATGCCACTTGCCATGACTCGAAACATCCGGCGTTGTTTTCCTCTCGTTGCAAAGCTATCAGTTAATGCATGCAATTTTAGAAGAAATGGCCTGTGGTTTATTGAGAAGAGGTTGGAGGATGAAATCATTGGAGCCATTTAGTGATAGGCACATCGAATTTCCACCCTCTTCCTTCTCATCTGTGCTTGAAAACCACCATAACGGTGTAAAAGATTTACTTTGGCACCTTAAAAGATTCATTTTGCAGGTACTTCGATTGCTGCTCGCTGAGTAACATCACTGATGTTAACCAAACAATGCTATGATGGCACATACGTTCCATTTTATGCACACTTTAATGTATAGTTCTAAAATTAGGGTGAAACGATAAAATGTGAATTGAAATAACTTAGGCTTTCCGGGCTAATGGCCAATCAGCATTGTAGCATAGCGGGCTCTTGTGGGCTGGATCACTAGCTAGACGGGTGGGTTGGGCTGCGGGAGGATATTTTGGAGAACTTGGCGCCTACAGTCCCTACCGATGCGATGAAGTGCCACCGTGGCTGTCTGTAGAGAAAAATAGGAATGCGATTGGACATATTAGTGGTTGGTCTGGGCAGATGGGCACACCGCACCGCAGTACTCGCGACCCTACGCGTTGCGCACATTCAAGACAAGTGTTGAATGATGTGGCGAGGGCGCGCCGTGCTCCGATAGTTCCCTGCACCGCTGGCGTCACCTGTCGCCGGGGCCTCACCTGTGCTTGCCTTGTGTTTAAGCACGCCCGCGAGGATCTTATTCAGCCAAGCGTACAAGCTCTCTAGACGTGACTGGTGAACCCTGTCGGACATTATCACCACCTGTTGACACTGCGGAGGCCAAATTGCGACCCTGCCAGCCCTCTCGGGAGGATTTTATCCAGTAACCCTATACAGAACATCTCGTCCATCTTTGATGTACTGAACAAGAGCATGATATGAATATTTCATTAAAGTGTTCATGTAGCCCAGTCGAATATGGAACCAAGGATGATGGCTATGATATGTCTTGTGTTTTGTATTAGCTTTTCATGACGGATTCAGGCGATCCCTCTTGTCTGAACACGCGCTCGTGAAGAAATGTAACCTTGCACCATTGTGCTCTTACCCTGAAGAAAGTTTGGCAGCGAATGATCATTCTGCATAGTCACTTCACATGTACTCAACCTGGATTGCCTGTCGTAAGTGGGCTTAGACGACGGAATTCGAATCCTCTTCGGCTCTGTGACTCGTGTAATTTTGAGAGTACGGCTCAGCTTACACCAATCGTTTTACAGATGAGCCAGACTTGGCTCACCAGTTTGAAAAGATGTAGACACAGACCCACATGTCATGGATTGGGGCTCGAGTTCCGACTCAAGTTACAGCGAATGACACTGATTCTGAGACTGTAGAGGCCAGAGCGGCCATTTTAGCTGGAAATCACATCCGTTCAAATTATTTAATGCGGTCTATACGTTTTGTCATTCCTCTCTGGTTGTGTTGGAATGAGTTGGACGTAGGCGCTATTTTACTTGGTCCCGCTTGCATTCAACTAAACTTGGGTGTTGATGAGTCAGCTTGAGCTAGACAGTACTGCAGTTGTAGCCGGTCACGAAGTTTTATACAGTCTAGTTTATCAGCCCATGTCTTTTATTGCTCAGAGCCCACGTCGAATTGTCAATTCTAACGCTAATTCAGAGACGTCAGTAAGTTATGATTAGCTCACAGTGAGATCAGGCTTAATGTATATTAGCGCAAACTTCCATGGCACCCTGGACAATCGCTACCCGCAAAGTTTTAGGCGAAGATGGCCGACGTATTTCATTAACTTGTAAGTGACGTTTGATGAGAAAATCTGCCCTCAGCCATCTTTCTTCTATTCATTCATGCCACAATCAGAGAACTGCTATGCAAATCTTTACGGCCCAGAAGCGGATTCTAACTCCGACTCATTCTCCAAGGACTCGGACTCGTTCTTGCACTCAGCCTCTAAGGACGACTTGGAGTCGTGAAAGTTGATAAGAGTAGGCTAAACTTGTCTCGGGCTCCAAACACGAGGACTCGGATGCGACTTGTGCTCCGTTCAGGAAGTAGGAAGCATCGGGTGCTAAAAACATTGGCAACGGACGCACACCTTTGTATTTAGGCATTCATAAAATGAAATGCATGCATGCGCGGGCCAGCGTTCAAGGCCTCGCTCATATTTCAAAGCCGGTCGTGTCATGCTCTTCAGGGATACCGTGGCACGTGCAATCGAGAGTTTCAGCACAGACGCACGCTCTTCCTTCTTCCAAATTGATGGGCGCTGGCACATTTGCAGCGTTGATGTTTTTCACAAACAGCTTTTGTATTTCCTCTATGGATTTTCCTTTCGTGTCCGGCAAAAAGAAAGTAGCAAAGAAGAACATCAGCACGTGCATCGTGGTGAAAAACCAGAACAAACCGTACATTCCCAGGCTGGAGATAGTCTTTGAGAACGAGTAAGCCATGACGAAGTTGAGGGCTCCGAAGAAGAGCAGGCACACGCCACTCAGCTCGGCACGGATGGTGTTAGGCAGCAGTTCAGAGAGCATGACAGTCATCAGAGGACTGATGCCGGCGGACATGGAGCAGACGATGACGAGGATGGAGACGAGAGCAATCCAGCCGTAGTCGGCCAGCTGCTTGCTGTAGTAAAAGTAGCAACCAGCAATGAGGCAGGCTGCCGCCCCAACTATGCCGTTCATCATCAGCAACGTCTTTCGTTTGACTCGCTCCAGAATGATGCCGCAGAAAACGGTGGCGATTGTTCGTACCACCCCCAGCAGGATAGAGCCTAGGTACGGGTTGGTGAAGCCTCCCACTTCTTTGAAGACAACTGGCGCGAAGGAGGTGGCCGTCAGCCCGCCTGAAAACACAAAGAATGTGTACAGGGTCAGCATCAGGGAGAACGGTATAAGGTTGTGCCGGTGCTTGAGCAGACGCAGCACCTGCAGCAGCGTTGCGTTATGCTTGTGTGTATCACCCAGCGACTTCTTGATGTCCTTAATCTGCTTGTCGACGTCATAGCTCTGGCCATGGTAGAAGCGCAGCGATCGCTCCGCCTCCTCCAGCGGATGTCCCTTGGAGACGAGCCATCTGGCCGAACGTGGAAACATCAGTGACGTCAGGAACTGCAGTGCCATTGGCCCGATGCCGATAACCAGACACGAGTGTCGCCAGCCCAGCAGCCACCCGAAGAGATAGGCGCACGTGATGCCGAAGCAGTTGCCCACGACGAGGAAGGAGACTAGGTAGCCGCGCACGTTCACTGACGAGATTTCGCCGACATGGGTGACTGAAGGCCCGAAGCAGACTCCGATGGACACGCCGACCAGCACCCGGCCAGCCAGGATGACCCAGAAGCTGCCGCCGAAGCGCCATCAGCATCCACCCGGCGGCCACCAGTGGCGAGAAGATCTGGACCAGGCGTACCGTGCCCAGCAGCGGGTTGACGTAGCTGGAAGTGATGAAGCCTACCATGGTGCCAATGTTGAATATTGCTACGATCCATGAGACCTGCGACGCGGTCAGCGCCAGGTCGGCGTCCTCGGAGGTCAGCTGCTCGGTGAAGACGCCACCGAACGCCCACGACGCCGCCATGTTGAAGGGGGTCATGGAGAGTGAAACAGTCGTGATAACCTGTGGGCCACAGAAGGCAGGCCAGTAAATAGGGTCATGTAACAAATGCTCTCAGGAAGGCAGCGGTAAGCTTATGGAAGCTTTAAAAAATGATGAGTTGCATCGCGTGAAGAAGGCTTCAATTAGAAATCGTTGGTGTCAACATGGTTCAAACTCAGGCCAAATAGGCGTAAAAATGGCAGACTGATCACATTAACGGTTGATCAACATGATCGTTATAAATATAGTTAAAGAAGCCTCCACTCGCCCACGAACCTGGGAGAAGTATACAGCGCTTGCGCTTCACGAAAAAATCAGAAACGCTATCGTTGTTCAAGGTTCGTTTTAGCATATTCTTCCACAAAATATCGATCGCGATGCCATTGCGGGGATAACAACACTCAAAAAGGAAACTATGTTTGAGAGTTCTGGACTTTTTTCACCGCTGGCGTGTGGGTAGACAGTTGGTGGGCAATTTATATGTAAACTCCACCGTCTTCCAATTTTGTGAATGGTTGTTTCAGTTACGTGTTCGATATTCTCCTCGTCCTTACTGCGCTGTATCCTTATAGTTAAACAATGAACCGCTCACTGAAGACTGATCACATGCATCCTTTATGACGTCATGAATACATTAAGCCGAGTTTGAGCATCAGCCTTGTTTGTTGGATGACTCAAATATGGACTTCAGTTCAATAATATTACTTAAAATATGTTTATTATGGGCAGAAACTATGTGGTGTGTCAATGGGTATCTAAAAACTAGTGACATTTTATAATCTTTGTGCATAACTTTGTTTACAACAGAGTGGCGCAGGCTGCCTTAAAATGTCGCCTAACGACAGTGGGCATTGTCAGTTATCTTGGTTCGTGTCCATCTGGGTGTTTGCAAGGCAGTTTTTGAGGAACTGGTAGGCGTAGGTGTATTTTGAACCAACATTCCATAAAAGAGTATTGTGAGTTTTGAGCAGAAGATAACTGCCTACAGGTATTGGTTAGGCATGAAGATAAAGCTGACGCAATTTTGCATAGATGCCCGTCCAACAACATGTGTATGGTGCATGGCTGTGAACGTGGCATGGGACTGAGCATATAGATTCTGGAAATTTGATTTTTGATCAAATAAAGGTGTTTAGTTGACTACAAATCACAGCTGATTTTAGGACTTGAACGTGAGGCCTCGGCGGGGAGGCAGCACCATTGTGAAGTTGATTTACCTTGTGTTGAAGTAGACGCTGGAAACTGGCCAGATTGGACACTATGTTATTGGGAGAGAGCCTTAGCAAAATTCCACTGTTGGATTAGTTCATGTAGGTTTTGGAGATAGGTTCAGCATATGAAGGCGAAGTGAGATTTGCATTTTCTTAGGTGCACTTGCCCGACAGATAATGCTATAAACGAGGTGAGAGTGAGATTTTGGAGCAAGATTCAGGCTGGCCAGCACATTCCATTGACATCTTTGCCTTGCTTTGCCAGTTAGGAACAGTTCGTATCAGAAACCTAGACCTGTTTCAAACCATAGTGCCTCCCAATGTATGTCTGGCATGTTCACGTTCCATATTTCAAAATAACTTTGAAAAATATCCTGAAAACTGAACTAAGGATGCCAAGTTCAGGAAGTTTTGCGCTCAACCCTTGGGAAATTTTGTGAATACAATTGAAGTGCTCTAACTTTTGATATAGATCGTATGTTGAAGCATGGTAGATAACATAGAACCATTACTTGGGAAGAACCTATCGTTTCGGGCACGACTCGGGATATTTTCACAATCAACATCTTGCTTACATTTTTGCCATACAGTATAAACAGGTTGACTGCTTGAAAGCAATGTCCACTAGGCAGATAGAATTTGTGCCTATGAAAAGCATGTCATATCATGTGTGGTTGCATGGCGTCTTGATTTATGCGAGCAATTCATACGCCGGATGATTGTTGTGACATAGGGATGCCCAGGGCGTAGAGTACCATTGGACTATGAGAGCATTGTGAATCTGAAGAATGGGGGGGGGGAGAGGGGGGAGGTGTGGGTGCCACACTCACTTTTTCAGTGGTATAAATAAGAGAACTCAGCTCTAATCAGCGGGTCGTGATAACTTGGCGGCCGGCGTCTAGAGCGGCACTATCAGAGTGGCCGGCGTACGGAGCGGAACTACCAGCACGGCCGGCGTACGGACCGGAGCTATCAGAGTGGCCGGCGTAAAGAGCGGGACAATCAGAATGGCCGGTGTTCAGAGCGGAACTATCAGAGCGGCTGGTGTTCAGAGCGGAACTTTCAGAGTGGCCGGTGCTTGGAGCGGAACTATCAGAGTGGACGGTGTTCAGAGCGGGACTTTCAGAGTGCCCGGTGCTCAGAGCGGGACTATCAGAGTGGCCGGTGCTCAGAGCGGGATTATCAGAGTGGCCTGCTTACAGAGCGGGACTGTCAGAATGGCCTGCGTACAGAGCGGGACTATCAGAGTGGCCGGTGTTCAGAGCGGGACTATTAGAGCGGCCGGCGTACAGAGCGGGACGATTTTGTCCGAGAAGCGAGCCGCAAAAACCGAATTGTTAAACCTCTCTAAGTAAAGGAAGGCCCCCGCTCAATGCAAACACACTGTTTTTTTTCTGACATGTGTTCTAGTTCAATATTTTTGGGTTCGATCTAAGCCATTCTTATCTTTGAACATACACCCATCTCAGCTGCTAAAACATACCTTGAATACTGTGCTGTAGCTGTTCTTACTCCATCGTGTGGCGCATCATGGAAGGCACAAAATGGCGTCGCTCTGCTAACAAAAACGTAACCTATGTTTACATATCACTTCAGGTCACCCAATCCATAAGTAGCTACCACGACCCTTCTCGATGCATGGATGTTTGAAACTGGTCGCACACGCGCAACACATGTTATACACCCTTAGCATGGCTCACGCTTTGCGCACATTTGTTGCGGGGATGCGTGTCAATGGAAACTCAAGCACCCAACTTCAAGACATGGCGATGTATCTGCTGCGCCACAAGGCACCAATGTGATTTCACATAAGCCACAATAGGCCAGAATAATGAGAGTACAATAAACATTATTTAAGCATGCACCCAATTCCACGGCGCACCACAGTAGGTCCCAAAACGCTTACTTTCCAGGAAACAACCAATTTCAAGGGCACCACAAGATTTACACCTCTCCATGGGGGAAATCCGGGACTGGCCCATTCAACGATGGGCCAGCAAAGTTTATTTTGGGGCGGTATAATCTTTAGTTTTGATAGGCATTAAATCCAAACGGGACATTTCAACGACCCAGCATCCTTATTTTCAAAGGACACCAAATTAGAGGCCACACAACTTCCGTGCCTTTCACCCTGACGAACTACTGAGTCAAGCCTCTCGGTGAAGAGATAACCGATGCCTTCATTTCGGACATCGCGACCCGTATTTTGAATAGGCACCCACTTGTAAGGAGGCACCACACCCTTTAGGAGGACGCTAAGCCCTTTAATTTTAAATGCCGTGAAGTGCTAGAGGGTGCCAAGAAGTGTTCCGTGCCTTACTTTAACGAGGTACCGAGGGTGCCACTATTGATAGGACAGGGCACGTGACCTACCCTTAGCTCTCGAAGGTCCCTAGGAAGCAACAGCCAATTGTGCGATCGAAGGGTCCGGAGGACAGGTGGGGGGGGGGGGGGGATATAAAAGGATATCAGCCAGTATGCAATACCAAAACTTGGTCCAGCGCCGGTCTTGGCCCTGGAGCCCCTTTATTAAGTAGGGCAGCGGCTGGGCATGCAAATGTTAAACCGAAAGGTCGCTCATTGGCCGGGCCCCTGTGCTTATCAAGGGCTCGCAGTGCCCATCAGCGGGCCCCCTGTCGGCACCAAGTCCAGACTCGACTTTGGCCAGATCGCTGAAATGCGATGTGAGCGGGACCTAGAAATTCAAATGGCCTTGGCTCGGACCCTCTTGACAATAACAGGAGACATGAGGAATGATGATGCGACGGCTTGCACTCACAATGAGGCCGTGACCTGTACCAGTCAGAGGTCGCGGCACCGAACGAGGGGCCCTGCCTACCCTTCCAATCACGAGGCAGGGGCCTATGAGACGAATCGCTGTCTCGGCGTCAATCAGGCATTGGACTCCCTGTGCCTGCAAGGGATTCTGCCGCGTCAGTGACGTGTCCCGGCATTGAACTGTGTCAGATGCTACTTTCAGGGGGCCTGCCGCATCCGAGGTGGGACTGGTGCATAATGCATCCTTCTGAGGTCCTCCATATCGACCAAGGCAACCGGTCCTCGTATCGCCAGAATAGCAGTTGTACCCAGAAGTACCCCTGGCTGGGACGAAAGAGCCTTTTAGCTCCTGCACTAGAAAATTCACCCTCACGAATTCGAGGTAGATTTTCTGAACGGAATTATTAGTTACAGCATCACGAGCAATCGAGATTACGCCATCGTGTCATGAGTCCGCGGTGCGGTACATCCTAAAACAATGTGAAAATACGTAGGCTTTGCTAATAATGGATGGCTCGTGTCACATGCTTAAATCAGAATGTACTAGATTTCCGTACTCCATCAAAACACTCCAACCATACAGTATAATATTTGAATATGTTAATGTTAACAACAACAAAAAATCATGCATGTTGCAGGGAGCCAGTCGCGTATTTTACCTCAAGCAAGAATACCGCGTCAAAAGTGTAGGACCTTTAATAGTTTCGCCGCTTTCTGCTATCACCACAAACATTTCAAGACTCGAGTCATGACATGCCACTCGTGTGGTATTACGCGTTAGGCAATGTGTATAGATGATCGCTTTTGTACTTAGCCATTCATTGTGAGGTTTGATTCCCCGAGCTGCGCCCTCTCTGCCGGGATGATTCCCCGACTTGCGCCCTCTCTGCGGGGAGGATTCCCCGACCTGCGCCCTGTCTGCCGGGATGATTCCCCGACCTGCGCCCTCTCTGCCGGGATGATTCCCCGAGCTGCGCCCTCTCTGACGGGATGAGAGGCAGACGCCGCCATGTAGTCTCAGAAGCGCCGCGAAGCGCCAATGAGGCACAAACATTCACTGCCAGTCTAGTGGCTTACAAAATGTAACTTTCACGGTTTTAGCTTTACGCAGATTGCTATGTATTTTGTTATATAAAGTTTTCATTTGCTACAATATTTCAAATCCCTGTAAAATTTTAAATCATGTTTACTTCCAAAACCGGGAGCCAAGCTCTGCTCCGTGAAGGCCCGGCCAAATGTAACGGTGGCCGAGCTCAAAATCGGGGCGCCCAGCCCAATATTGTAGGGCATGCCCCCAAAGAAGTAAGAAGTTCCACACCTGTTACTCACCTGCATTAGTATTCCTCGTCTGTCATCTTGTCCTTCCCTGATCGTAGGAGCCATCCTCATAATCCTGGATGCTGCTAATAAAAGCTCAGTTGGCGTCCTCACAGAGACCCTCCAGTTAGCCGAATAAATTAAAGAGACAATAGGTGATGCACCTGCCAAATGTCACAGGCTTCATGTAGCAGACGCAGCTATCTGCGGTTCCGCACGACCTCACATGCAAGACTGAGCACCGCTGACCACACAGTAACTCATTTACAAGTGTTGCATAGTGCAGCAGGGTAGTGCTGCCATCCTGAAACAAGACAGCCGGGGGCCAGAAGATGTTTTGTTCTCTGTTACAGAAATACTCAGCAGGCAGTTATGGTGTAGATGCAGACAAAGCAATGTCTGGCAAAATGAGCTCACTGAGCTGCTGCAATTCCAAGCAGATTTTTTTATGGTGCTGCTTTTTCTCCATGCTTTGGACCTCCACCTATATCCAAATTTTAATCCTTTTCGTGCACTTTATTCATGGTATTATTTTCTACAGCTATAAGTTCTGGTAATGATGACGGTCTGAATTCAGTACCATTTTCTGTCGGATAGCTGTTTCCAAAATAGTTATAAAAAAACTCGAGCTGCCAACAGCCGTGAAGCATGACGCCATGTACGCTGATTTTCTTCATTTATGTAGGGTAGACTCACAAAATGGTGTGAGGAAGGCTGGCTGACCAAGTGTTCTAGCAAGGTTTGTGTTATAGACACGCTTTGCATAGGTGTTTTTTTTATAATCCTTGATGCGGACAACCTGCACGTGACTGGCTACGGCAGGTCGAGACAGCCGCGTTCCGACAGAGGGCACTGCCAACGCGCACTTTGCAGGGGTGCTGGGATCATCTCCCTCAGACTCTGTTGCCGACGGGTCCGCACAGGTGACGTCAGGCAGCGCTGGGAGGGGGGGGGGGGGAAGGGGGGGACAGCCAACAAAATCACGTGCGGTAAAGGTCACTGTCGTCATTGGATCTTTATCATGCACAAAGCTGCTGAGAATAAATCCGCATATCACGCTCACGAGAGGGATAAGCTCAACCATCGCGAGAAAAATGAGCCCCGCGCCCCTAATTTGGCAGGCGCCCAGCTTGATCACTGCACTGCCGGCTCTCCAGGCGCTGTATGCGGCGCAGGGACTGAACGGCACTAGGCAACGCGTGCTGGGTACGTGAACTTACCACTTGATACAATTAGTGACTGTTGTACGCCCTCTCCCGTAAGTGCTGAGGCGACACTGGCGGGCCAGGGAGGGAATCGGTGACGGGAGGGGGGGGGGGGGGGAGGTTCTGACAACGCTTATTACGATTACTTACTGCACGTAGGCGAATTCAACTGGCAGATCCCAGTCACGTGGCATTTATGTGCGGCGACTACGAGATTTGACGTAGGCGAAAACAAATTGTGAGAAGTCACCGACACAAAGAAGCTTGGAAGCTGGAACACCAATAAGACGACTTGGCAGACACAACGGAAGGACTCCATGACAGTAAGCGGAAGCCATGACAGCATCCATACTTCCATCCATACCCTTGACGTCATCAGTAGCGGAAGCAGATCATTTCATGCTGCAGTAAGATCCTTGTTGCAGTTTGAATGCCACGACAGGCCTGGTCGTGGAGGTGTTCCACAACAACACAGCACTAGGGTATAATCCCACGATTTTCACCTGTTTTAGTGATAACGTTGAAGTACAAATTCAGAGGCGTTTATGCTAGGTTTGTAATTTGTTATGAATTAGCATTTATGCCCAGGACAGCAATGGCAGAATGCTCATGCAATACAGTGCGAAAGATGCTCATTCACGAAATTACTGTAAAATGAAGTAATGTGATTGCGACGATGTAAACTGAAAGCATTGCGTTACGTCCTAGTCAAACGCTGCCATCCTACGCCTATGCGTAGCAAGGCCGCAGCACAGTCAAAGACATTATGGATGGTGTGTTGTGTGGCATTAATGGGGCCATTCAAGTACACAGCCTCCCAATATTTATTTGGAGACGAAACATTCCAAACAAACAATCAGCATTCGAGCTCGTTCACAATAACGTCCGAATTTCGTTACATAACTTTTCAATTTTGGGGAGGAAGGAACGTGGCTTAACAGTCGTAAGCATCAGTGTCACCACCCTTGTCCGGCCTCGTTTCCTATGTTTTCGATGAAGATTCCCCTTTTTTATGTGCCAGGATTGATCTCGCTGTACAGGACATCGGTCTGTTCTGCGTGTTCTCTCTCTCTCAACGACATCGGTCTGTTCTGTCTGCTTCAGATCTGGTCAGTCTATTCAGAACATGGAGCTATTCTATCTGTTCAGGACATTGGTCGTCTGTCTGTTCAGGACATCGCCCTGTTCTGTCTGTTCAGGACATCGGTGTGTTCTGTCTATTCACGACATCGGTGTTCTGTCTGCTCAGGATTGCGGTCTGTTCTGCCTGTTCAGGACTGGTCTGTCTGTTTAGGACACCGGTCTTTTCTCCCTGTTCAGGGCTGGCCTGTTTTTCAGGATAAGGAGCACTGCGTGAGAAAAAACAATAGGCATGTGACGCATACTTTTGTATTAAAACATTTTCAGGAGGAGCACACACACATGCGCGCACCAGCGTTTCAGAAATCTTTCACATTTGCGAGTTTGCTGTGTTGTGTTCCGTATGGACCTCGCACGTGGCATCGAGAGTTTCAGCATGTTTTCTTCCCCTGTTTTCCTCAACATGGATGTGCACTGGTTCATTTGCAGGGCTGACGTTTTTCACAAACAGCTGTTGAATTTCCTCTATGGATTTCCCTTTTGTGTCCGGCAGGCAGAAAATCGCAAAGAATAACATAAACAAGTGCATCGCAGTGAAAGACCAAAACATTCCGTGCATACCCAGGCTGGAGATGGCCAATGGGAACGAGTACATCATGACGAAGTTGGCAGCGCCGAAAAAGAGTAGGCATGCACCGCTGAGCTCTGTGCGGATTGCGTTGGGCAGCAGCTCCGAGAACATGACGGCCATCAGAGGACTGATGCCGGCGGACATGGAGCAAACGATGACGAGGATGGAGACCAGTGGGATCCAGCCGTAGTCGGCCAGCTGCTCGCTGTAGTAAAAGGAGCAGCCACACACAAGACAGGCCGCCGCCCCGACTATGCCATTTATCGTCAGCAGCGTCTTTCGTTTGACCTTCTCTATAACGATGGCGCAGAAAACGGCCGTGACCGTTCGTACCACCCCAAGCAGGATAGAGCCTAGGTACGGGTTGGTGAAGCCTCCCACGTCTTTGAAGACGATCGGCGCGAAGGAGGTGGCCGTCAGCCCGCCTGAGAATACAAAGAACACGTGCATGACGATAATCAGGGAGAACGGTATGAGGTTGTGCCGGTGCTTGAGCAGACGCAGCCCCTGCAGCAGCGTTGCGTTATGCTTGTGTGTATCACCTAGCGACTTCTTGATGTCCTCAATCTGCTTGTCGACGTCATAGCTCTGGCCATGGTAGAAGCGCAGCGATCGCTCCGCCTCCTCCAGCGGATGTCCCTTGGAGACGAGCCATCTGGCCGAACGTGGAAACATCAGTGACGTCAGGAACTGCAGTGCCATTGGTCCAATGCCGATAACCAGACACGAGTGTCGCCAGCCCAGCAGCCACCCGAAGAGATAGGCGCACGTGACGCCGAAGCAGTTGCCCACCATGAGAAAGGACGCTAGGCAGCCGCGCACGTTCACTGACGAGGTCTCGCCGACATGGGTAATTGAAGGCCCGAAGCAGACTCCGATGGACACGCCGACCAGCACCCGGCCAGCCAGGATGACCCAGAAGCTGCCGCCGAACGCCATCAGCATCCACCCGGCGGCCACCAGTGGCGAGAAGATCTGGACCAGGCGTACCGTGCCCAGCAGCGGGTTGACGTGGCTGGACGTAATGAAGCCTACCATGGTGCCAATGTTGAATATTGCTACGATCCACGAGACCTGCGACGCGGTCAGCGCCAGGTCGGCGTCCTCGGAGGTCAGCTGCTCGGTGAAGACGCCACCGAACGCCCACGACGCCGCCATGTTGAAGTGAGTCATGGAGAGCGAAAGAGCCGTGATGACCTGTGGGCCAAAGAAGGCAGGTCAGTAAACAGGGCCATGTAACAAACGCTCTCAGCAACGCAGTGATGCGCTGATGGAAACCTGAAAAGGTAATTAACTGCACCGGCTGAAGGGAGCATCAATTAGTTATCATAATTATTGGAGAAGTGACTGCTCAGGCAAACGAGAAAAAGTCGTGGAACTGACAGATTGAAGACACTTGATCAGCATTAACGTTGTGACCAGAGGTTCACTCGCCCGCGAGCGTGGGAGAAGGATATCAATGCTTGCCATTCCTGAAAGGAGACTAAAATGCCATCATCGTTCAAAGTTTTATTCAGCATGTCCTCGCATGAATTGTTGTTTGCGGTGCAGTTGCATGCCTTGCGACACTGAAAGAGGAAACTTTTAGAACTGGCCTAGACTTTTTCACCATTACCGTGTGGGGAGACAGTCGATGAGGAATTTGTGAGTCCACTCCACTGTCATTCATTTCGTTGAGGGCCGTTTTAGTTCAGTTTTCAGTGTGCCCCTTGTCCGTACTGCGCTGTATCCTCAGCGAGAAACAGTTTGTCGCTTACTGAAGACTCACCATGTGAACCCCTTATGGTGTCAAGAAACCATCAAACTGAGTCTGAGCATTAGCCCTGTTCATTGGAGGGGTCAGGGTAGAGCCTCAGGCCACTATTTTTGCTCTAGATATCTGTATTATTGACAATGTATGTAAGGGTATGGTGCATCAAGCGTGCTTTTAAGAAATAATGACGTCATTATAGTTTTTGTGCACAACTTTACGTCGGAAGTGGCGGGCTTGCCTTAAAATGCACCGTCAGGGCATTGGGCATTATAAAACATTGGGTTCCTGTCCCGGTGTCTGTTTGCGAGACGGTTAGTGTGGAGCGTGTAAGCAGGGGTAAAAAAGCTTCTGATTTGCTGCATATGATCAGTAAAAAAGCTGACACTTTTGCGAGCCATTTGATGACGTAATTGCGAAAATGCAATAAATTTCAATAGACGCGACCATTTTACAACTTACTATCCCATCTGAACGAAGCTCAGAGGTTAACATTGGTCTGTGCTCTCAAAACCGGTAAATACTTGCGTAACACAGAACAGGGTACTTCCGCAATTTTCAACAAATCAGTTCGTACCTAAGCAACTTATGAGAGTTACAAGTTTCAGACTTTGACCTTCGACTGACACGCCCTATGTCAGGAGGCACCTAAAACGGTCCCAAAATCTTACGTTTTGACAAGTAACCAAATTCCGGGGAAGTTACTATACCTGTGACGCCCCATTGGCGAAATCATGGATCGACCACTCAGGGATGGATTCCAAAACCTTCATTTCGCAGCACCAAACTACTTATTTATTACAGGCAACAGGTCCAAGCGGCCCATTTAAATGGTCCAAAGCCTCAGTTTTAAGGACACCACGATTTCCTTGCTTTTCATCTTGACCAATTTATTGTCTGACACCTTCCGCAATGAGGCACCACAATATGTCCTTTGCGGAGTGCCGTTAACATTATTCCAGCGTGTAACCAATTCCAGGGGGCACCGCAATGGGTCGCCAAACGTTTATGTTCAAGAGACAACAAATTTTAAGGGCGCCACAACACTCACATCTTCCCATGGGGGTATCGGAATCGGTCCGCTCGACGACGGGCCAATAAATTTCAATTTTGGGATAGCCTTACCTTTATCTTTGACAGGCGCCAAATCTTAGCGGGTCATTTCAAGGGCCCAGCATCTTTATTTTCAAAGGGCCTCAGAAATCAAGGGCAACACAACATTTGTGCCTTTCACCCTGACAAAATCCTAAGTCGAACTCCTCGGGGAAGGGATGCCCGATGCCATCATGTGGGCATCGGCCATCCCATCCCTCCTCAGAAGCGTCGGGAAGGCCCAGTAACACGCAAACATTCACTGACCGTTTAACGACTTGCAAAACGCAACACTCTACTGGTTTCGTTTTACGCTGGTTATTGTATATTATGCTATATAAATATTTGTTTCTATTACCATGCTGTAGGACGCTACAAAATCATAAATTATGTTTAATACAAAAATCAGGCGACGGGTTCCATATTATGAATGCCCAGTCAAATATAGCGGGTGCTTAGTCTTATGTTGGGGCGCACAGCCCAACATTTGGGGGAGGGGGTAAAGGCGTGAGAACGTTTCAAAAAGTGGGGGCGGAACTCAGGTCTACTTTAGGAACTTTTTCTGAAAAACGAGCCCAAAGAGTGGGGGTAGAGATGGAGATTATCGCTCTTTATTCAAATATAATGATTGCTATTCTAGATATGGATCTAAAGCTGTTTCACTGGTGCACACCCTCGCTACCTGACTCATCTATGCCATTTTGGATATAAGGCTATCCAGGTTCCCAAGATTATTCGTCCATTTCAACGCTGTCTTTCCTGGGGAGCCGAAATCCCACATTCTACGAGTGGGTAGGCATTTTGGGTAATTGAGGAGGCATCTGTCTCCATGGGGTAAAGGCCAATGATGGCTTGGGCATAGGCTGATGATAATTTTGAAAGCAAATCGATGGCTCACAGTAGAGCAGATTTTGCATGAGCCTTCATTTCGCTGGCTGCTTTTCAAGAGTTAAGACTTGTCGCGGCGGCTTGGGCGGAAACAAATTTGGAAGTTAAATACTGCCAAGAACCATATGACAACAGCCATAGAACTGGAGATTCTCCTTTGAAAACCAAGCCACAGAGTGAATGTCCTTCTGTCATATCTTCCCTGTCTGAGCCCTGCTCCCGTCCGCCGTCGGTTGCCACTGTCCTGGCCCGGCTGTCTCTGAATGACTGACCGTGAACTGATGGTATGGCTGCTTTGTTGCACATTTCTGGGTCAGCATTGCTACTAATTGAGTGTAAAACATGTGTACGACACCTGCAACAGTACCTTTTTTGAATTGTCTTCTCTCACAACACAGAAACCAAAAAATGGCGCCGGGAAGCTGCCTACTTTAGGTATGACTTTACCCAACGGACATCTAATTGCCCCTCATTCAATGTAGATTGCTTGATTCGCTTTGTGGGTAGGCAGGGGGTAGCCAGAGCCTTGCTAAGAGGAACACAGGGTTGACAAAAGGCCCGCTTATGGTGATCCTCCCCTCACAAAAAATATCCCCGCATATAGTTTACTTGTTAACAAGGGATACGATTTTTTCCTTTCATTGTTATTTTTAGGTTATTACCAGAACAGAAGCCAGAAGATACTGTGAGATCAGTTATGTTTACATTTTTAACACGCGCCCGCGTAGCCGGCTAGATACCCTTCGCTCGGGTGGGGGTCAGTTTCACCCACCTAAGATCTCGGAAACTAAGAGAGCTAGAAACACCAAATTCACAGGGTGTGTTGACCTGTACGTGAGCTCACTTAAGTCAAAGTTTGAGGCTCTTAGGCTACGAAGTCCGGGTCAAATAAGGTCAAACAAGATTAAGTTCCTGGTTGGTCTCTAAAGTGCCCCAGGAAACCAGATAACCGTTTCTAGACAAAAGTTCACACGTTCAGTCAAGGTCAGTGACCTTTTTTATCTTTTGAAGGTCATGGTGACCAAAATCATACAAGACTGCTCTCAGTCTTACATTTGCATAAGCGAGAAAGATTACACTAAACAGTATGTTTCTAAAAACAAAATGTGGACCTCGGTCATATTAGGTCAGCGACCTATTATGACCTCTAAGAAGTCTAAGGAAGATGTATAACACGATTCCTGTTATCAATACATTCAAAACGAGCGCCAGAAACTATCGCACACAGCAAACCCTAGAGTGATGCAACAGGTTGGTGTTGACCTTGTTCTGATATTTACATCTGACCTTACATCAGCTTAATTTGCCCATTCAATATTTGTATTGTCTAAGAAAGCATCTCTGAGAGATATGGCTTTGTCTAACACTCCATCGTTGCATCAGATTGAACGATTCCCTAGAGGTTGAGTTTGCTGAAACCATGACCTGACTTTGACCTGCCGTAGGTTAGCGACCTTACAAAGTCCATCTAAACTTTTTAATGCCAAACGATCAGCTATTCAATTGTCAACAGCTATGCAAAACATGGTGCAGCTGTGATACGTCGCTCGGAAACCTTTCTGGAAAAATATTCGTGAGGCGAGTCAATTTAACTTTTACCCGAGCACGTATTAAGGTTACCGCGGAAATTTAGGGGCTTAACGACCGTATGAAATAAATCACCGGCGTCCTTAGTTTGTGATGGCTTAGTAGACTCTTTCTAAACCGACATACTTCAGAAGTTTTTCAAAATGTTTTATCTGCGTTATATAGACATTGAGGACATTGCGAAGGTAAATTGTAGATCGACATGTTTGATTGAAATTTGAGGGTGAAAATTTTAATTGTGGATCGAGTGGTCAACAATGTGTATTAACATCGCCAGGCCATGTTTGTTTGGAAATGCTTAACATTCAGTCAGAATCTATTACTGATACAGTTTATATCACGTGGTTTGTAACAAGCGCGCTCGCAAATCTTAGCAACAAAAACCTTGACACCAGACGTTGCAGTCTCCATAGCCCGCGGAGCGCCAGCTCAGTAGCTAGCTTTTTGTTGTGGTCCACTGGTGGACAAAAACGATAATTGCTCTGAAATTATTGACTTTAAACATTTGAATCAGTTAGTAAGAAAAGTTGTGTGACAATTATGAGCATGCATACTCGCAAGTCTTAGTTAAAAGAGCCTCGACGCCAGGTGTTGCGGTCTCCGTAGGCTGCGCAGCGTCGGCTCAACAGCTAATACTGAGCTGTGCCCACGGGTGGACGAAAACGATGACGCCTCGGAAAAGTACCTTTGAACCTTCAGGACATCAAATCTGGCATCTACAAGGCAGTCTGAGCGTATATTTCACGTGTGCGATTTTTAGACTTATGAAAAGAACGAATTGGCCCTTAAAGCG